TTTTTTGGTACTGGGCGTCGAACTCAGGACCTTGTGCTTGCCAGGCAGGCACTGTGCCCTTGAGCTGTCTCCCCGGCTCTCGCTTTTATTTCTTTTCTTTTTCCTTCTTTTTTTTTTGTCTTTTTGAGACAGTCTCCCTATGCAGTTCAGGCTGTCCTTGAACTCGCAACCATCCTCCTGCCTCAGCCTCCCGAGTGCTGGATTACAGGCGTGCACCACCACGCCCGGCTTCTCGTTTTTTTTATTTATAATCAATCATGTACTTACTTTTTCGGTACTGGGGCTTGAACCTAGAGTCTAATTAGGCAAACCTTCTAGTTGACTACACCTGGTAGACCTATTCTTACTTTTAAGTTGCCCCATCACGGAATAGATACTCAGAAATTGAAGGAACAAACACTGGTTCAAATCTTTTCACTGCTTGAGCAGTTTATGCTTAAACGTGCTTTGCATTTTTTGCCTGAGCTTTTGCTTTCTGTCCTTTCACAGAGTTGGATGCAGATTCTACTGGTGGTGCTTTATCAGGGTTAGGCCTCTTAATTACCAATGCATCTGGCAGTTTTGCTTAGTCTGTTACAGTGTAGTGTCTTGGGCCATGCTAACAATTTGAATCACTCCCTTTTTTTTTTCTCTTGGGATATTTTAAGGATGGAGGTTATTAACTTTCTAATGTGCTTCTGCTGATCCTAGCAATCTGGATTTCTCCACTAATCAGAGCATAGCTTTTCTTGGTTTAATGAACATATTTAGAAACCAACAGTTAATAGCTACCTGATATCTTATGATTGCCTTTATTTTTAAAGTAGAAAATACAATATTTTGGGTGAATCATGTGTCCATATGTGCAGTTGAGTGCACTGTACAGTAGGTGCTCAATAAATGTACAGTTATGAATTAATTTTGAATTCAAGTTGGAATTAACTGCAATGACCTTTATCCTATTTTCAAAAGAATTTGGATGAGAGTTTTCTTTTTTAAATTTCTAAATCAGGGGCTGGGGATTTAGCTCAGCGGCACAGCGCTTGCCTGCCAAGCACGAGGTTGTGAGTTCGATTCCCGGTACTGGAAAACAAACAGACAAACAAAAAAACAAATAAACTTCTAAATCAGGTGTGTTTTTAGAGTGTTTCTCAGTAACCTTATAGTATTTGGCTTTTTGAGACTGGATCTTGCTATGTAGCCTAGGTTGGCATCCAACTGGAGATCTTCCTGCCTTAACCTCCCAAGTGCTGGAATTACAGGTGTGTACCACCACACCTTACTTAACACTTATTCTTAAAACTTCAAACCACATGTTTACATAATGTTACAGTAGTATAGATGTAAATAGCAAAATAGGTGTATAGAATCTGAAAAGTGAGGAGAAACTTCAAGGTAGCTAACCCAAAGCACCAATTAAATCAGATTTCTTAACGGGAATTTTTTTTCCTGAATAGTCTTTTTTTGAGGCAGGGTCTTGCTGTGTGGTCAGGCTGGCCTGAATGCACGACGTTGCCCAGGCTGGCCTTAAACGTGGTGGCAGTCTTCCTGCCTCCATCTCCTGAGTGCTGGGACTACCAGTATGGGCCACCACAGGTGGCTTGAATAGTCTCTTTTTTCTTTGAGATAGGGTCTTGCTATGTACCCCAGGCTGGCCTTGAACTCACAGTGGATCCTCCTGCCTCAGCCTCTTGAATACTAGGATCACAGGTGTGCACCACCATGCCGGGCTGAAGTCTTTTAAATTATTGTTTTTGTTTCTGTTTTTGGAGACAGGGTCTCCTTATGTAGTTCAGACGGGCTTTGAACTCATTTTGTAGCCCAGGCTGGCCTTGAACTCAGGCAACCCCCTGGACATGGCCTCCTGCATACTGGGCTATAGGCATGGGCATCACACACCCTCCTCTGAGCTGTTTTGTGGGAAATGCAATGGACTGAATTCTGGAGTTGGAACCATTGTCTATTGTTAGCTTCATATTAACTTAATAGTGTAGTTGTTATATTACTCACAAATTCATTTTATTTTAGTTTTTGGTTGTAGAGATTGAACCCAGGGAGCCAAGAGTTGTATATCCAACTCTTTTATTTTGAACCAGCTTGTCACCGATTTGCTTAGGGTAGCTTTGAATTTGTGATTCTCCTCCCTCAGCCTCAAGTGAAGCTCAGTGTGTATTATCATAAGTGTGTGCCACAAACGCATGGCTCATGTTTTTTATTTCTTAAAATGGGATCTCAGCTAAGTTGTCCAGGCTGGCCATGAATTTGCCCAAGTAGCTGGGATTACAGGTGTGTGCCACTACACCTGGCATTTTTTTTTTTTTATTATTATATTGAAGCCGAACGTGGTGGTGCACGCCTGTAATCCCAGCCTGTAATTCCAGCACTGGGGAGGTGGAGACAGGAGGATCATTGTGAGTTCGAGATCAACCTGGGTTACAAAGTGAGCTCAAGGCCAGCTTGAACTGCATGGCGAGACCTTGTCTCAAAAAGACACCCCCCCAAAAAAAAATCATATTGATATTGGTACTTTATTTTTCTGTGATGCTGGGGATAGATCAGGTGCCCAAGTGCTATACTGTTGAGCTACATCCCCAGCCTGACACTGGTATTTTAAATCTCTTTGCTGTGTTTGACTAGTAACTTCTCTTTTTTGGTTTTTCTCCGGTACCGGGAACTGAACTCACAACCTTGCACTTGCCAGGCAGGCGCTTTTGCCGCTGAGCTAAATCTCCAGCCCCTGACTAGTAACTTCTGTGAGCTTATGTATTAAGTCATTATTCAGGCTGTTGTTTTGCTGGGATCCCCAGTCTTAAGGTTTTTTCTGACATGAACAAGAACTTTATTGTTATTATTTTATTTTATTGGTACCGAGAATCGAGCTTATGACCTCGAGCTTGTCAGGCAGGCGCTGTGCCATTGAGTTCTATCTCCAGCCCTATTATTTTGTTTTTTGTGGTGCTAGGAATTGATTCATGTGAGCAAAGTCAGCTCTCAACTTGATTTATAGACAGTTTGAGTACTTTTTTTCTTTTCATTTCTTTTTCAAGTTCAGTGTTGGTATAAACTGTAGACCTGAACCTTATGTTTGGTAACTTTGGCTAGTTATCTTTAGATATTCATCATTTTCCTGCGTGTAAAATAAATAGGAAAGAGCTAGGAAAATAATGTATGTTGTGTTTACTGAGTTGACAATGCTTAGGAATACATGTAAAAGTTTAAAAATGTATTTTTTAAAGCATACTTATTTCAGTTTTCAACTAAGTTGTTCAGGCATGCACCGCCATACCTGGCTAAGGTTGGTGGTTTTAACTTAGTGTTTGGTATAAATTTTGTTTCTATTCTTTTCATGTCTTTATTCAA